ATATACATATATATACATACATAGGGCGCATGTAATCCTTTTGCACCCCTATATTCCGGAGTAGTCCCCATACATCCCAAATAAACTACTAGGGCCCCTTGTTAGCCTAGATACGACCTGTATTTGTTTGTTTGGCATGGTCAGCCCATGCTCAATTCGGGGATGTCTGATTTGTAATTCCCAGGAATATGCAGGGATCCTGACATGATTGTGGGGGATGGGGGTCCTCTTAAGGACGTGAAAAGAGTTAGCTGGAGAAGCACTACGCCATGTCCGCACTTCAAACTGTTCTGAGACCTTTTGAATTCAGGACTTCATGAGTCCATCAAGCCGGCGCGGACGGGAGGGAGTGTGCTGCTGAGGCGGGAAGTAAGAGTGGGCACGTGCACTCAATATCCCTAGTGCTATTCGCACCGCTGCAGATGCTTGTTCGTACTTGCTGCCTGGATCCTGTTCTGTAATATGGCGCAAGGTCTAAGTAGATAGCCGCAGAAGCCGCATTATCAAGCAGCTCATGCCGATTCCCGGAGAAGCAGGGCCAGAGACGCAGGGAGAAAGCGTCCACAGCTGAAAGCTGTGGGACTACGCCACTCCCATACCTTTCAGCTGTGAAAGCTTTCTTCCTGAGCTTGCTAGGCGAAACCCGGGGCTGAGTGCCGTCGCGCAACGCCATTTCTGAAGTACCTAGAGGGGGCGGCAGAAGCACAGAGCTCAAGCGACTGCTACCTGAACACAACGGACACAGCTTCTTTGGACGAATCTCTTTTAAGTGGGGAGGTGCGACTGAGAATCGTGAGGGCATTCCCCAATGTGGTGATAATATGTTGCAAAGAGACACTGGGCAATTCAGCCAGGTGGCTGGGCCAGCCGTGCTCCCCATGGATCCTGATAGGGTGGCTTAGTACTCTGGCATTGGAATCCGCTTGGAAATTGCATAGAATCGTGATAGGCGGCAATCCTAGCAGACCTGCCCAGTCGCTTAAGCCTCACATGTGAGAAGCCGGTTGCATTGTTGCGATGCTTGCTGAACATTATCTATCAAGATCGTGCTCAACATGTCCATTCTGGTAGCTGCTTTTGGTCCCATCGATCAGCCGTTTGCCGCACAGCTAGCTTGCAGCATCAGTGCGTTGCTCGAGGAAGCAGCGGAGACGAAGAAGCATAACCCTGAACCGTGGCTACATGTACGGCAGCCCCCAGCACCTAAACATGCAAATGTACCGAAGCATACCGAAGCATACGGTCAGTGCTTTTTTGGGCAGCACTGCTGTTGATGTTCGAGGCTTTCCCAACATTAGGGTTCCCTTGTTGTGGATCGACATTGGGGTCCCCTGTTCATTCAAATTCCTATTTGCTGAATGATGCTGAATTTAGCGCCAGGTGCTGTTTCCCGAGCGACGTCCGCGCAGAAGCCATCTTTGTCTGAGTGCTTGGATTGTCCTTGCGAATTCAGAGCCGGTGTTGCTGGTGTCGTTTTTGGTACCAGACTTATCAACACTTCGCTGGCTGTCTTGGGTTACACAACGCCCGGCATGGACTTATCGATGATCGGTTTATCGCAGATGAAAAGGCAGCAGGTGGGCACCAAGTTGCAGCTCAGCAAGCACTGCGCGCGCTTGTTTGGACGGTGCGCTTGGAATGCCAGGTACCTGAAAGACAAGCTCATTGGCAAAGCCAGCGACCATGTCGCACTCTTGACTGCATGGGGCCCCAAGGCACCATGCCTGAACGTGCTTGAGGGAAGCACGTGCGGACTTCTTGCAGGCCATAGGTGATAGCGAGGGGGAGTTCGGCGAAGTTGCTGCCCTGATGCGCCTCTCTCTCAAGGCCAGCATTGCTGGGAAGTATCAATGCAGCTTGATGGTGTTGGCAGTACATTGCCTGCCAGGCGTACCAGGCCACCCTGAAGGTCTGCGACAGCGGGTGGGGCAGGGCTTGTCAGAGCACAGCCACGAACAGAAAAGACCCCTGCTCTGGGTCCCACGAAGTGACTGGCTGCTAGATGTGATATATCAGAGTATGGTAAAAGGTTTGTAAGCGGCGCAGAGGCGCCGCCAACCACTGAAACTTCAGGCGCAGAAGACAGACTTCCAGTTCGAGGTAGCCCGAGAAGGGGAAGGCCACGTACTTCATTACCAGGAATCATTGCCATTTGCTCAAGTGTGCCTATGGAGTGGCGGGAGAATCCCCAACCGGCCACACCACCGTGTATGCGCCTGCACGTGTCGCCTTGTAGCGCAATGTGATTTGATGCAACGGCTTGCATGGAGCTTGCTGGAGGTCGAGACTGTTTAGTAATGCCTCCTTCCAACTTTGCACTCCTCGGCTTGAAGGACAGGATTTCATGATTCAGTTGGGGCCATTTTTCAACCTAGAATCATCCATCTGCAGGACACATTTCACATGCTGCTGAAGGCTGCTTTTGGATGGTTGTGTGCTACCTTGGTCCGACATTTGAGCTTCATGTGCCTTGATGCGAGGGCTTTCGTGTGCTTCTCATCGTGCAACCGCGCTTCTTCCCGCATTTCCGAGAAATACAGCCTGCACCACAGTTGCACAACGCTTGAAAGACCCTGCATAGCTTGAAGGCAGATTCTTTCGACATTCTGCTGCATGCGCCCTCCTGGGCATAGTGCCGGTTCTAAGGACCCCAAGGCTACAAAAAGGGGACGACGTAGGTATACCTAGAACCCTTCCAAGCCGCATAGCACAACCTCAAAGTAGTCAGTGCCAGACATTTTAGGCTGGACTTGGCCAGCTGTGGTTTGCCAGATGGCCTCGTGGAGGCGCTCACCCTCTCATTTACTTTCTACTTGTTAGTGGTGATTTCAAGGAGTGGAAAAGAAGAGTGAACATATAACACTGGGGATATAGAGGGCACCTCCAGTTCCTACCAGCGACCGGTAAGTCCCACCGGTGCTGGCACGGAACTATGTCGATGCTGAAAGAGAGGTCCTGCCTGGCATCACTCCTGAAGCTGATGCAGAAGTGCGTATCCCAGAGAACGCGCGTACTTCTAACGTTTCACTCCCAAAGGTAAGGCATGTGAGACCTTCCATCAAGTGGAGCATACTCGTGTACTCTAGACATCTTTTGCGACCATGCAAAAGCGTCGCATTGCGTTTATAGGCCTTCTGTGTGTTTGTTCCAGTGCCTCCCCAAGCAACTACAAAGACCTCCAGATCAAGATTCGGCACAGCTGCTGAGGTTCTGCATGAGGCGCTGAGACTTGTGGACCGTCTGCAGTTCACAGGCCCTAGTTGTAAGTATCAGTATCATTTGTTTTACAGTGGGGTGGCAGTGCTACATCTGAAGGTTCGTCGGCCATGTTCAAGAGCCTCGTCTTGAAGGCGGATTTTTGCCATGTCACTAACTTCCTTGGCTTTGGCTGGATAATTTGCAGTCCCGCCACCCAGAAGCTTTTCTGGTTTGGCTTTCCTGCGCCTTTGCCTAACACAGGCTTTGGAGCTGGGTAACCTGAGAATGGAGCATGCCGGCGAGGAGCGGATACTTTTGCACAGGCCAAGGGCAAGTCGGAAGCAGTCGTTGGCAGGTCAGTGGCTTGAACAAGGTCCGCCTGGAGAATGTGTCCGTGTAATGTGCTCAGGGGCTGCAGACCTGAAGGTTCTGCAACATCTGGACCTGCTAGGGCTAGGACACCTTGCCCATTGTGTATGTGCCCCAAATGAGCTATAGTCTAAACTCCTAGTATCCCCCCTATAGTAGTCCCCTAGATAATCCCCTACAATGTGCCCAGGTCCCATCCTGCTGTTGCGCGTGGTACCAGCTGGGCAGCCATGGTGCACCGCTCAGCTTCCTACTTTTCAACGACGCCTGGGGTATTCGGATCATATGGGGATAATGGAAAAATGGAAACTACAGGAATTAAGTATAGGGGTTATGTATTATATAGGGTCTATATCGGGGTTATACGGGGATATAGGGATCATGGAAAAGAACATGGAAGCTAGTATTAAGGGATTAGGGAAACATGCTGACATTGAAAATGGCCTAAGGCCAACAACGGCGAGCTATGCACTTCTGCTGCGCCCTTGGATCAGTGCAACCGCGAATCAGTAGAAAGCGCAAGTCTCACTAGCTTTCTTCCTTGAATTGGTCTTGTGAGCCATGTTTTTTGTTGTGTTTGCAAGCCTAGGCTTCCTTGGTAGAGCCGCGGGCTTAGGGTAGACAGGCCCTTGCTCAGGTTTGTCAGCGCATTTGCTTAGCCAAATGAAGCGGCGCGAGGGCTTGCCACCTGCTACGTTTGACGGCGTCCGACCGCATGGTTTGCCACTAGTGGCGCGCGAGATAAGGTTTGACACGTCTGTGGGTGACACTGCGGAGAAGGTGAAGACTGCCTTGGATGAGGACAGGATTTCGTGTTTAGGAGGTAAATTTCGCAGAGCTCCTTGATCTGTGTTCAAATTGAATGCGCCAGGCGCAAAAGGCTTTTCACGTCGGCAGGGACCCTGCAGACACAAGGCACAGACAAGCGACGTCTAGGAAAGGATCCACTGGCACTCCTGGCCTTCAGGCTCGACATTCTCTTGAGAGATGGAAAGACCGAGCAGCTAGAGATCAAAACGGAGGACACACGGTCAACTGGAGCAACTCAGCGCTTGTCCCTTCATCACCGGTCCAGGAGCCAGCAGATGGATTCCGGGAGTGGTGGGAGAAAACAATCCTAGCTGCCCCCAGGCAGCCTTGCCAACTGCTTGCATGTTTGGATCATGTTAGCATGTGCCATGAAGATTCATGCTGATGACGCCAACCGCTTTCCCTTCTTTCGCTTGAGATGGTTCGCCAGCAGCCAGCATGGGCAGTGGAAAGCATGCTCTTTGCCAGGGATGGGCCCCTCCAGCTGCGAACGAATCAGTCTTTAGGCCAGGACTGCCGCCAAGGATGGAAAAGACAATGGAATCTACTACTACTTAGTACATCTTTGATATACTGGCTCCCTTGACTGTCATGGAAGACGACACGGTCTGGAGCGCCATAGCAGCAAACTGAACGCCACGAGGGCACTGCGTCTATGCGCCGAGCATTGGACGTGCTGTTGAGATCGGGACCAAGGAGGCAATGCGGCCTGTGTCTTCGTTTGGTGCTGCTCGCATGGCAGATCTTGAGAGGGCTCGTAAGGCAGACGAAAGCAACCTTGATGAAATCAAAACTCTCCTGGACATGTTTTCTCATGGTTTGTGGCCAGGACGCATCCAACATTTATTGCGTCGGGGTGTCTGAGGACTGCCCGAAGTCGACTGGGTCAAGTGCAGTTGGGATCTCCTTCGCTTGAACTTTGAAAGCATAGGAAGCCTCCGCCCCATCCGCACGCGCTGGAACAACTGGTGCCAAACTGCCCGAGAGTGCCTTTGGTGGCATGAAGCGTGGGCCTCAATGCCTGCAGGCGACACATCTCTAGTTCCTTCGCATGCTGTTACGGTGTCAGCAGACTGTCGTACTTGTTCTGTCTTTGAGCTTGTCAGTAGCAAACGGCCCGCGACCAAAACCTGAAAATTGACACTGAAGTAAAGTTGCAGCCAGGAGTTACACCTATGCTGTCGCTGGTGACCACGACGGAGTTGGCACTGCCCCCAACTCAGCAGAATCAGTGAGTCCATCAGAGTCACTCCCATAAATAGTTGCTATGCAAGCCGACGGGCAGGTCCAAACCCTGTTTGACAACACCAAGCGACGAGGGCCAAACTTCCGTGATCAGGACAGTTGGCAAAAGTAGTTGTTGGTGGATTATAGTGGCATTATGTGGCATTAGCGACTGGCAGTAGCTGCTGTAGAAATTGGCCAGAGGCAGGAAAGCGCATATCCTGAGTCCCCATGATTTCTTTCGGTCAGCCAGGTTCATAAGATTTTGGGCTGACACGCTCCCAGCCCATTAACTGTCATGAACAGCTAACACGGGTCGTTGCCATAGCACTTTGCCAAGAGGCCACTCCTTGCATCCACACGCTCGGAGTGGCCCCGTGCAGGAAGAAGCGTATGCTCAGTACGAACTGACAGAAGTGGCCATACGCCCAGCGGCTGGTAGGGTAGGGGCTACCGGGCTGGACCTGGCATGAGTTTGCCAGAAGTACCGTACAAATGTACCTCTAGCCCCAATGCTTGCTGGTTTTGCATCTTTTCTGCTGCTCTTGAATTCACGTGCTGTGGTCATGGCTGAGGCCATGGTGATTACTACCAGAAATACAAGGATATTAGCTGACGTGTGTCGACTGTACGTTCGCTTCTGAAGCTATTGTTGCCGTGAAGTTGGCCGGTGAAGCTGACACTATCACATTGAGCACTGCGCTTGGTACTAAGAATCCGGCATGACTTTGCGCACCCTGAACCTAGGGAATCGTGTACCATTGTATACTAAGGTCATGCAGGTTTATTTGTATTATCAACAGTATCTACTGTGAATCAGCCTATCTGTGGGTGCAGCACAAGGCTGAGATGCTTCTGGAATTTCTTTCTCCCAGAGATCAGATGAGCTTCAGCAAGCAGATCTCCAATGTGCTGGAGGCAGGGCCAAAGTCATGTCTGAATCCTTCCCAACTAACTCGGAGCATGACTGTAACACCAGATTCTGTAGGGAAGGCACTGGCACGGTAAAAGGTAAAGTCAGCATCTACTTGTTTTGCAGATTTCTGAGTCATCCTGTGAAGGCCCTTGCCCACAGCTAGTGATGACCTCTGTGTGAGGGTAGGACTGTGCCATGAGCTCCTTTCCTTAAAGATCACGCCTTCATGCATTAGGCCCAAACTTGGGATCCTATTCTGGTACCCCTAAAGCTGAAAGCTACAAGAGTCAGTGCTATTTCTTGTGGTTGCTGGGTTTGCACTTTTCTTCTAAGAGATCATCAACTGCTTCTGAACATCATCGAATCGCTTCTTGACCAGGACATAAAAATTCCAACATCCTTTTCTTGAAGGTAGGATGTAGCGGTCTAGGGATCCTGCTTCAAGGCGACATCTCATGCTTGAAAAAGCTTGGACACGTTGCTTTCATGTTTCAGCATCTGACAAATGTTACCTAGCGCCATATAAAACCTGTTTCCATGACTTTGTCATCTGATTTTCCATGTGATTCTCACATCGTAGAGAAGTATTGTTTGCTAAGTAGCTTCCATTTTCTTTACCATTATCATATTATACACGACTATGTAGGCAACATCCAAGTTGTTCGACCAGGTAGCATCCTACCCTCTTTGATGCTTATGGTTGTAGATAGCACTCGTGTCTCATAAAGTTCTTACCTTTTTGGCATAATATAGACAGCAGAATGTAACAACAAGCAAGTTGGTCTCCTGAATGCTGTCAGATCTTCGCAGCCTTCGAGCCCGAACTCACGGAGCCCTACGGAGGACAGGGCTTGGTTCCATGGCGATGAAAAGTCAGTTAGCTTTGAATTGTCCAATGGGATAAGACAGGGACTAAGAAGGGGTTGTTTGGGTAGGTGTTGCCAGGGCTTAAGTGAAGAGCTTAGTTTCTGACTCGCAGGCATGCGCTTAGAAGAGAGAACGCCTTTCAGACATTCGTTCTAGTCATCCATAGTGCACCTTCTGGAGCCCGCTGATTGCTTTAGTCCCCCCACCTAAGGTCAACGCGGACGGAAGGAGCTGGCGACCTAGAGCAAGTTGTTTCATCCAGATGTCGGCCCCTATTTAGTATAACGGTCGTGTATTGGAGGTTTTGTAACTAGGCGGGTGCAGGTTGCTATTAGTCGGTGTAGGTTTCGAATTGTGAACGCTTATTCTTGTCATGCAGTACCCAAAGCTCAAGAGCCAATCAGCGCTTTCAGTATCATATTTCTCCACCTCTACAGCCACTAGTCACTAGACTCAGCTTACGTGGCATCCGACGTGCTGTAGCAACTCCCTGTTGGCTCCTAGGAGGAAACACTCTCTAGTCTTTGCATCTCTGTTCTGAAGGTCAGCTGGTGACGCTCCAGGCACTAAAGCCCGAACAGACCTCAGAAGTGGAAAGGAGAGACTTCACATTCGGGTGGGAAGGTCTGAATTGGTGCAGTATGGGTCCATGTACTTGTGCTCCCTTTTCACTGCCGGTCCTTGTGATCGTCTTACTTTCTTGCATTTGGTTACAAGTTTTTTTTTTCAAGCTACCTCGGTGGCTGACCGCAAAGCCTGCTTGTTGAGGCCACATTTTCCTGAGCCCCGCATCAGGGCTTACTCCTCTTCAGCAGGTTCTGTCATGGACCCTTTTAACATGTGTAGGGGGCAATAGCATCAGATCGCAGAGCACGTCAAGGAATTGTAGTATGAGCATTCGAAAGTGGCATGAGTAGAGAGAATGGGAGCAGTCCAAACAGCACCTAAACTGCACTGTAAGATGCCAGAAGATGAAGACAGACAATTCGAGAACAATGATGCTAAACGTGAGTCCGATATTGGCTCGTATCCAAGTGGCACGCCAAGGGCCCTGAAGCTTTCCCGCACTTCCACAACTGCAGTACTGAAGCATGTCTTGCTGCATTACTTACCCCTCCCAGAGCTCTCCAAACCAGAATCCACTCCACACACAAAGCTTCAACCAAAACCGAAGCGGAACTTGAAGTGGCGGGTGTACCGGCTTGGGCTGGGATTGGGTGTCCTTTGCATCATGACTGCTGCGTAAGAACGTGTGAGAGTTGAAAGCTGTTCCCACAAAATCCGTAGAGCCGCGTTGAGAAACTGTGCCATCTTGGAGCACTCCCTAGATCCTCCTGCCTACCATTATTGACATGATCACTCTTCATGTTGTTGCCAATGATCGAGCGCAATTCCTCCACATCGTATAGCTCTTGCAATAAGAGCTATAGAAACAACAGACAATACTACTGTCATGTTGAGTAGCTTTTTACAAGAACTATCGGCACTGTTAACAGCCTCCTGCCGCCCAGTCCCGCAAGCAGCTCCTGATTCCTCGCGGAGTCGGCCTTCCCGAGGCCAGTTGCGCTATGCTGGGTGTTTCAAGTTGACTGAGACATGGGGTTTCCGAAAATGAGGGGGTCGTTATAGTAAAGATTCTAATTTTGGACTTCTGGAAGCCCCCATGTGAAGCATAGGATGCGTAGTTGTGCGCAGATTTGCAGAATCAGCAGTTGCTGCGGCGCTTCTGCCAGAAGACGCCTCAAGTATTCAGCTGGCAGATAGGAGATCGTCAAGATGGCGGCGCTTTGCGCAATGTCGCCATTGTCGGTGGCTTAGACTATTTGCAACTGCTCCAAAGGTTTGCAAAGTGATCATGGCACTTGTTTTGCTACATGTGTGTGTCTCCTGAGAGCAACCCTCCTGACTTCAGGAAGGAGATCCCGGCAGTGGGGGCCACAGAAACGTGCAGCCATCTGCAAGTTTTTAAGAAAGACAGAGGCATGGCAATGAAAGATGCAGACACTTGAGTGGCCCAGGATTTGCATTTACTTTCGGCCGCGCAGGACCGGTGGGTCGCGTGCACGTCGCTTTGAATTTGATGCTCCCGATTAATTAACGCCTAAGTCCTGCGACTGCATGAAGAAAGACATTGCCAGGCCGGAAAACTTCGGGTGACAGACCCGCTGAAGCTGCAGACTCAGCCTTGGTGATGATGAAGTCCAGCCAGGAGATCCTGCGCAAAGGTCCTTCATCAAGGTTGTTGAGAAACATCTTGGATGGAGGTCCAGGGGGTTAGAACCTGCAATCGAGTCATGCAGCAAACATGACATTCTGTCGACCCTGGCAGGGTGCACTATCATGAGAACACAGAGGCCCTCGTGCAAGCCCTCACTGCAGCAGAGTGCTCCAGCAGTGGGAAATGCATAAGATGGATGGGGGGGGGGGGGGGNNCGCAGGGCAAAGGCATATACACGGGTTAGGAGCTGTCAGCGGATAAGTGATCTTCTAGCTACACGTTGACGGCAAACCGAAGTTGTTGCCGGTGTTGCTGTGGCACCGAAGTGGTCTGAATCGGGGGCGCTTCCGAACACCAGGTACCCGCCGTATTTCTTCTGCATCAAGGACAAGCACCTTTTGCCAGTGGAGGTGACGTCAGCGTTCTCCATTGGATGGCAAGCTTCAGAGGTGTATTTGGCACTGCAGGTCCTCAAAGTAGTTGCAGAGCAAGGAGGCTACTTCTACGAGGGCCTGCCAAGTGTGCGGGGCCTAGGCTGTAGCTGTAAGACTTCAGTGAATGAAACGTGAGATTGATGTTGCTCAGGACCCTTTGTCTTTGTTCCGCTGCCTGACAGCATCACAGGCCAGACCTCTGTGCTTCATATCCGCTGCACGGGCGCGATCGTGCGGGGCGTTGATGATGCACGTACGTTTGCTAGGCGTGGACGGTGGCCTGTACAGAGGCGCAGGTTGAGGAGGTGCGCATGCTTGCTTCGGCTTTGTATTAGTTGTCGGTGTTGGCATTCGGCTCCCCTCTACTGGCTCCGTGCGGGCAGATGTTGCCGTCTTCATGCTTGCTCTGCCAATGCAAATGTAAGCACCACCTCAGCAAGGAACAAACTGCGGCCTTACTAAGGGACTAATTATTCAGGGTGGACACAGGACAGGGGTCGCTTTGGTAGTTTAGTACATGTCAGTACAGTCCCAGATGTATTCCCGAATAAGGAACCCGTGTCCACTAATTATAGGTTCAGTATTGACCGTTGCTCAAATGGAGAAAAAGTTGCAGAGGCCGGCGAGGCCTTGAAGCAAGCCTGGCAGACGATTGGCCTGCGCGAGGTGCTCTTGCTTTGAAGAAGGCAAAGTGCTTATGTGTATTGAGAAAAAGCATGTCTGCTAGCCTTGCGAGGGCCTCATTGATGGTAAGATAAGCGTGAAATTTAAGTATGTTGGGTGGACTGAAGCAATAGATCTCAGAATTATGTTCGGTGTCCCTGTTTGAGGCCGGCATGTCGATATGATCCAAACAGTAGTGATAAAAGTGCAGTGGTACCAGCCTGGGGGCATCTCAAAGCCAATACGGAGGAAAACCACTTCCCTGCTACAAACCTGGTTTTAAGAAATTGCCCATTTCCCAAGAAGCACCTGCTGAAAATCCTCCCATCCAAATCATTCTGCTAATTATTATAGCTGCAGCATGACCGTCATAAGTTCCCTTCCTCAACGTGAACCCCTTGGTGAACTGCTTCCAGAACAGAAGCACCAAGGAGCCTCTTGAGGCGCCGGAGATCGTCAAGCTGGGAGCTTCAAACCTCAAAACTTGTTTGGATCAAAGGGCTTGATGTTCAGTGTCAACGACTACGGCTTGGGGTTAAGGGGTTCAGGTTTAGCCTTAGGGGTTACGGTTTAGGGTTGGGGGTAACACGCTAAGGTTTGGGGTTGGCAGTATCAGTAAAACGAAGGTATGTCAGTTGCAATCAGAGTCTACTTAGGACGTTAGCCGCAATGGCAACAGTGGCAAGTGCATCCAAAGAGTAAGCATGGACGTAGCAGGTTCTTAGGTACTAGTAGTAGTAGCAGCAGTAGTAGTAGCAGCAGCAGCAAGCAGCAGCAGCAGGTAGTGGTAGCTTCAGGTTTTGATTTTAGGTGGAAAGGTGACACTAGCAGGCAATACTGGCAAGAGTTATCGCGGCAAAGATGCAAACAAGAGATCTGATATCGATTATCCCACTCGCAGCATGACGAGCAGCAGGCGCACTTCCAGCAATGGCAATGGGAATCGAAATGTTCACTTCGCAGGTTTGTTGCAGCCTGTCATGTTGTGAGAGTAGCAGACTGCTTCAGTCTCAGCATCTAGGAAGGTTTGCAGAAAAAGGATCCACGCAAAAGCTTCTTTGAGGTGCAATTAGTGTGTCAAGGAGACTAGCAAAGCCTACCTTTCGAGCTGCTGCTCCTCTCACACACTTATTATACCCGCAAAAAGATCTGAAGTGAGGCCCACGGGCCGTGACTTCGACGTGGGAGGCGGCTTCGGAGACACGGGGTTCGCACAGGTGCGCCGCATCTTTGTAGAATTGCAGAATGATTTACGGATCCCACTGGCAATTACACAGCCAGTGGTCTTCCGGAGCAATAGAAGTTGTGTCATGGACAACAGTCAGGACGACTCCAAGTGGGATGAGCTCTCTGATGACGAGGAGTCAGATGACGAGGCACCAGATTTCCCAATTCTGTTTCATGTTGGCCTGCCATTATTCCGCCAGCGACTGTCAAAATGGTCCTTGAAGGTTGCACCAAAGAAGCCGGAGCAGCAGCCAGATGCAAAGCCCAAAGCTCAGCCCAAGCCAAAGCTGCAAAATACTGTTCATCATGTTTGCACAGAGCTTGGTTACTGACAGCTGAGGGCCACTGGCGAGAAGCCGGCAAACTGATTTGCCTGCTCAAGCTCATACACAGCATGGCAGGGCTGCAGCAGCACCAGCAGCAGCATTTTCACATGCAAATTTCCCAGTGACCTCGTGTAAGATCAATTTGCACCAATTCTAGTGCATGAATGTCAGCAATTCATGCAAGGACTCAGATTCCAGAGGCTTGAACCTCTAGCCGCTAAACCGCTATGTCTCCTGCTTTGCAAGCAAAGTTTTGCCTTTCACCCGGCTGGCTGGACAGAGTCATCATTCCATAGGATCGGAAGACAGAGTCAAGTAATAAGTGCCATTGCCACAGCTAGAAGAGCGGTATCTGCAGAAGAACTGTAGCAGAACACAACTTAAGCAAGAAGAGCGAGACAGGGCGAATTCACACCTCCGGTAAGGACACTGGTAGGGGCAATCAATCATTGTGCTTGAAGGGAACCCACTCTGAAGCAGCCCTCCCCTCCCCCAAAACATATCTCAGTCCCCTACGACGCCCCGGTGCCTTAGTGGGATTGATGTCCTCTGTGTTAGGGCATGCAAGGCATGACTTTGACCAGCCCGGGCTTTAACAAAAACATGGGAGTTTCTCAGAATTATGGACACCCCTTTTAGGGCTCATGAGAGCAAGGTTCAAGATTACAATACCAGATTATCTTCAGAAACTCTCACGTGGTTTTGTAGCGGAATAGCCCAGGCATCTCGTCCTGTGCATGTGCATGCTTGCCTGCTTCGAGTTACGATGGTTGACTGGGATGGATTGCTTACACTAGACAGGAATCAATTACGGTAAGGCACCCAGGAAGTCATTGAAAGGAACCCCATGAGTGGTCGAACAGGCATAAAGCGATAGGCCGATAGGCTTCATGAAGGACCCACTGTTTACAGAGAGAGTTCTGGGTTGACTTTGCATCTCCCCACCACAGGGCCTATGGTGTATGGTGGGCATGCTCACTTTTTGCGCATCCATCTAGTGCCAGGGATGAGCTCACGGAAAATGCGGATACTCCCTTCGTCAGAAAAGCGAACAATTAGATTCACGACTCCCGTGAAACATGTGCATGTGAAGTGTTGCATCATCCCTCGCTCTGCAGAAAGACTGATCAGAGAGCAGCTGGCGAGCAGACTGGAAAAGTGTTCGGTGTCAGTGTCATTGCGCAAACCCCTGGTCTAAAAGCATATGTCTCTTAAACGAGCTCATCGTCCTTCATAATTTCAAGTTGGCTCCCAGCTTTATGTACGAGGTGTCGCTTTACCAAGGCGATGGGGGTTCTGAAAACAGGGGGCGCTTACGGGAAAAGAAGAGAAGAAGAGGATTTTTGGGGAGTGGATGGAGCTCGTTTTGGGAAAATAGAAGATGTAGGGCTTACACGCAACATGTCCATGTGATTCCGCAGTTTTTTGAGCAATGATTCCATAAGCGCAAACGCAGGCCTATGAATGGCCAGAAGAGAACCTGCAGCAGAAAGGAAAGACAAACAACCCAAATGACAGAAGCCATAATAATAGTAATTATTCTTAGCCATAGGAATAATAGCAATAATAGTAATCAGGGTAATAACACCAGTAAGATAAAGATAACAATCCTCGCAGTTGTCAAGAACCGTGCAACTTGACATGACAAAGGGCGCGTTTCCAGCAAGGCGGAGCACCTTACCGCCCATGTTTTCCAATCACATGGCCCATTCCCACCCAAAATGGTGACGAGCTTAGAGACCGACCGAATGACAAGTCCGTTTTGGCGATTCATCAAAACCAGGAGTGTGTCATTTTGAGGATACAGAAGGCAAGCTTAATTTTGAGGAATGCTGTCAAATGAGTAGGTCAGGCTTGTGCAGTTCAAGCTTTTTGCTCTTGGCGTTCTACACTTGAACCGATGACTAGCCGGCTTTGACGATTCAAAATGCTTTGGGGCAGGGGGTCTTCTGAGAAGCAAGGCCAAGAAGAATGATTGCCGATTGCCTATTAGCTGCGCCAAGCGCTCAGAACTTGTCACCGGTAGAGAGCGACTCAACATCTTGTATTAATTAAAGTTTCCGAAGTTTGCACACACCCGACATGCCGCATCTCTATGCTGCACGGGCTCTGCACGGAGTCTTTCGCTTGCCCAGGTAAAATACAACATCGGTTCTTTCTTTGCCATTTTCCTCCTGGGCTTGTTCAGCTTCGGGCGCAATCCTGCCTAAAGCCTAGTACATCAGATTTGCATGCGGGCCAGGTGTCACGAGTCAGCCTGAGTTGATGGGGGGGCTTTCAGAAGAAGGGAACTAGTTTGGTTAATGCAGAGACACAACTGCCAGCACACCCGAGGCCGTTTGGACCGATTGCCCAGGCAAGCACATTTGACATGTCACGTTGGTGTAGAACAGGAGCCTGATATTTACTTGCGACCCGCTTGTCACAACGGTTCGGCTTCTAGACTAGTCCAGTGGTGCTGCTACTGTCACGAGCCACGGCTCCATCAGAAGCATTGCCACCATGACATTTTGCTTATTTGGCTCCTCCTGATGCCAATACTGGTGCTGCTTCTGCAGCTATGGTCGTCTTGAATTCTTGCTGCGTAGCACTACAGTTGCGCTCTGCGCATTAAGAGGACTGCGACATTCTAAGCATGAGCGCTCCAAATCTGAGAATGCCCCGCGCGAGAGTCGCTGGCCTGTCGCGACCTCGAGGGTTCAAAAGCGGTGACATTGACGCAGATTGCTCGCGACCTCGACATCATCTGTCCTGACTCTTCATATGTTTCATTCGTCTTCTTTTGTTTCTCACTTTGATCTCATCTGCACATTGTTGATATTTGTGCTTTGTTATTGTTCATGGCTTCCATCTTGTCTCTATCATGTTACATCATTTGCAAACCCTTGATCAGACATCTCGTCATGGTTCAGCGCATTTCATCATTGTTCACAACTTGTCCATCATATTCATCATGTTGTGTTATGCTTCAGAACCTTTGCAGTTGTTCATCATGTTTGTCATTGCTGGTGATCTTAAACCATGTCTCATAATGTTCAGTGTGTTCCATAGACGCTCATAATGTCACCGCGGTGTTTATACAACTGTCATGCCTTGCCAACAATTTTTATGAAAGTTCCTGATATTTCTTCAATTTTCATGATTTACATCACGTTTCATGTTTTACATGGTGTTACAACATTCTTCAACACATGTTCAGCACTGTTCATCATGCTTCTATCGCGTTAGTCATGTTTCGTCGCGTTCATCATATTTCATGATTTCCATCACTCTTAATCATTTTTAATGATCTCCATGGTGAAAAATATGTCTTCATGATTTGCAAATTCGGGGGGCCTCCACCCCAACACCCCTCCCCCCGATCTGCTACCCCTCCCCCCCAATCTGCCACTCCATCACAACCCCCGCCGACAAAAGGACCCAAAAAATCTCCACCCCTTGCAGAGTCCACCCATCGCCGCAGCCATGTCCGCAAGGCTTTGACCAGAGCTCCTCTTTTAGGCTGCGCCGCGGTGTAAACGAGGCCTTGAAGCCGTGAGCTCGGCATCGCTGTCTACCTCTGCTCGGTAGTGTGCGAAGCTACAAGTCTCCCCCCTTGGCATGGCTTGTGTGGATTCTGCCTTGGAGATGCGAAATGCATCATCAGAACGTAGCAACAGGCTGTTGAAAGCAGCTTGTGCCGAACTCCTTTGTGAGCTTTCTGATCGGTAGATGATATTGATGTCCTGTCTGAGGCAGTGGACTTCGTCTCAGGCGCCGCTTTGCACGAACATGTGTGCAGAGTAGTAGCCGCTTGCTCTTCTGCGCTCTTGTGTGTCTTGCCAACGCAGCAGACGTTTGACGCTGGTTTTCCAGCTATATACAATTATAGTATATCAGTAGAATATAGTAGGATATAGTCAAACCATAATATAATATGATAGTGGGACCCAGGACAAAGGCCAGGGCAAGGATCCTGAAAAGGACGAATCTGACGACGATGCTGAGGCCTGGCTGTAGTGAAGCTCGGCCTTGGATTCTTTGACTTTGACCTTCTGATGCAAGCTTTCCAAGCATCTCTTTTTTGAGGAGGCTTCTGTGTTCCAATGATTTAGCCAACGACCCTTTCATCCTGGGTCTGAAGCCTCCCATTGTTTACTGGGGTGCATAGGGAACACAGGAATATGTTACGTGTTCTCTACTATCCACCCGTAAGATACTTCTTCAAAAAAAGCGATGACTCCAAGGAAGGACTGACATCTATGTCACCAGAGGATAATATAGTATACTATGCTAGAAATATTATCTTCTGCTATAGTATATTAATAGAATAAAGTAGAATATAGTAGGATATAGTAGATTATAATATAATATGATAATGGGACCCATTCGCTCATATTTTGGGGGAGGTCTTCAAAGTACCTCCCAGCAAGTCCTTGAGCCTAAGAAGCAGGGCAAGCGTTGCAGCAATTGGAAACTGGACCGCTCCCCCAGAACCCCTAAAGGATCCAAAGCATGAAACCCCTAAGAATCCCCTAGTTTCCCCTATGTAGTAATGGGTTCATATTTGGGGGGTTCTTTAGGGGGTTTGGGTCATAGGACGATACGGAGAACTCGGAGAACAAGGTCCCAAAGCAGGACCTTGCCAAGGACATTCTACGAGAGAAGGGCATGAAATTGCTTCCGAAAAGCAATCAGACATGCCCGCCCTGTCCTGGTATTAGCACGCACTGTTCAGTCTTGACAATTGGTTGAGGGAAGGTGCCTGACATCAAGTCCTCGTCGTAGTAGGAGCAAGGATTTTTTGAGACGCCCGGCATTACTCCGTATGAACCCTTGGTAAAGCCAGAATGTAGTGTAGGTGCAGACAGGGCTTTGCAGCAAGGGATAGAGGTGGGGCGTGCATCGGTGTGAGTTTTAACTTCAACCCCGTCACTGTTGGCTGCAATGACTACCTGGCGGATCTTTGCTCTTTTCGTTGAACCCACCCCTGGCTACGAACACCTGGCATGTACAGAGGCCGCAAGCTGCACAGCGCGAAATGTTCACCTTCCCGTGCCCGTAGTGTCGTGCTTGCAGCACCAGCACTCTGATTTCAGGACGCGAAAGTGGCTCAGAGCCCAGCAGTTGACGACGAGGTGTCGAAGTGCAGCGTTAAGCTGCTTCTGCCGGTGGAGCAGCATCAATGCTGGGTTTATGGAAAGTCTCCGGGCCAACGCCCCTGAACGTGAAGGCTCCGGCGGCTGATCCTCCAGCAGAAAAAGTCAGAACCTGAGACTGTAGCCCGGTGCAATATAGCCATGCGGCAGTCCCATGAAGTGCGCTTTCCTTCCTCATGCAGCCGCAAAACTGCCCAGGCTGGTTCTGCAGCATCCAGACCTAACAAAGGCAACATTGCTGTGATTTGCTGAAGGGGTACTGTACCACATATTAGGCCTCAGGTTAAAGTCTGTGACCTCTGCGCCGGGGGCTGTAAACATATTTGGCACATATAGAAGTGCAGCAGCATGTGGTGGCCAGTGCATGTGAAAAGTCCTTCCTGGCAGAAGCAGAAGATGCTCGCAAGGTGACCTCAAGTGGGTGTTTTGCGCAGGACAGTGGCAGGACAGCTTCTAGCAAGAAGGGCCTTCATGCATGTTTTTGGTAATTTCCCTAAAAAAGGGGACTCTAAACAAGGTACCGCTAATTTTGGGAAACCCCCCTTTGAGCAAGGGGAAGACTCCAAGCTTTCTCGCAGCAGAAAACCATGCTCAGGACTGCACCTGTGATGGTGTCGTGCGGTGGGGCAATGGAGAAACGCGGCTTGTCTAAAAGGACAAATGCAGGCTATGATACAGCTCTGCTACTCCCAACCCAGAACCCTAATTGAACCCCGCGTCAACAAAAAAAGACGCGTCATGGTCAGGTATTAGACAACTCGCCCCCACAACTATCAGCATTCTTGCAATGAACTGACGGACTGCGGCATAAAGACTAGCACTTTCAGCTGCCGCGGCTTCGATGCGCAAAAAATGTGGGGGTTTCCCAAAATTATTGGCACCTTATTGGGTCCTCATAGTAAGGATTAGAGTATTTTGGGGTTTATACTGGGGTCCCCCTATTTTGGGAATTTACCATGTGCTGGTTTGAGAAACACTGATCTGACACCCTGTGGTGTGGCTGGTTCTCTCTCCTGCCTTGTGGTTATGATGCAGGCGCTGCAGACACTCGAACCCAAGCACGCGTTGTATTCGTTTGGGGTTATTAGGGTAATACCTTGGGCTATTACCTACATTGGGCGACTCGGATTTCAGGTTTGAGCCACGGACCTTGTATGGAGAGAGGCCCAGGGCTTCCTAGCTCGCAGACCCATAGCAACGACAACTGCAATAATAGCGATAGTGAAAATAGTCATAGTAGTGATGATGTATAGCAACAAAGGGAACAATGTGGCTAGAGGAAAAAGACGCAGAGCTGGGAAAGCTATTGATCACCTCCGAGGAAACCCTGCGCTCAATGCAACTAACTAAACCTTTTAAGCTTACACAATCTACGCATAAACCAGATATGTTGCAGCACGTGTATACCCTTTGGTTGAAAGTGCTCCCAGCATCTCTGGCATGACTTCCCTGAGAGCTTCAGACACGATAACTCCTGACTTTCAACATGATTGTTCTTAGGAAAGCTTCTTTTGGAACTTGGGGTGTCAAGCCAACCGAACTATGTTGGAAGATATCGCAGAATCCGCGATGAGAAAGGAAGAGTTACTCCGGGCATTTCTGATTGCATGTCGACCAGCTGGCCTCGCGCTGTGATCGATTTCAACCCATGCTGCAGTGGTCATACCTGGGTTGGTCAACTGCTGGCGCATCAGGTGGCTTCACGTAAAGCCCAAAGCTCCAGGATCTTGGGCTGCAATTAAGTGGCAGTGCATGTGTGTGAGCCACTCCTGGGGCAATGGTGAAGATATTGCTGGACCTGTTCAGCTTGCCACATGCAGGAGAGCTCCTCACCGTGAAGTGCAACATTCAGGCGGCATGAGCCAACGTGTCACGACTCGAGCATCGCAAAATGAGCATTCTACCTACCCTACACAATCCCAATGTCCATTTCATTGTCCATTGTCTTTTCCATTTGATTTCCCATTATTGGGATCATACATCCCGATTCTATACAGGTGTTTCCATTTCGTATTCCATTTGTTCAATTTGATTCTTCATTATTGGGAGAATGCCGCATGGGAGTGGGCCAGGTTTTGCAAGACATACTTCCTGGCGACGATGGCAAGCACTGCGAATGCCAGGTAACACCTGGCACTCCCTTCTACCAAGGACATCTCCAGAACTCAGCTAATCCTATTCGAACAGTAAAGGCGTCAGCTGTTTTTGGCCTAGGGAAAGCCGGGGGGACAAGCTTTCACGAAATTCAGTGCCAACTTGCACCCGGCTGCCAGGACTAAATCCCATGTGGCTGCTTCCAGAGGAAGCTGATGCCGAGGGTGCTTCTTTGGTGGCTTCTTGCGAGCTATTCGAGGAGGGCAAGGCACGTCAAGTGGTTGAAAACAATGGTCTTGCAGAATGGCAAGACACGCAAAGCTCCGGAAATCTCCAGCTGCTGATGTGGTGGGTAAGGTGTAGCAGAAGACATACTGGTATCAGGACGCGGGCACCTGGGGCCAGCGTCAGTGGCAAGCAGTCGCAGCGTTCCTAGACGGCGGGTATTCAGAAAAGTTCAGGCCAACTTTGTGGAAGCCGGAAAGCTGTACACACTGCCAGCCTGCACCACGAAACGGCGCTAAGGTTTTGCAATGCCGAATGGGCCGAGACTGAGGAGTCCCGTGCAGGCAACTTGGCGCCAGCTTACCATATCTTATCATGTGAAAAGTTCCAAAACATCATAGTATTTCGCAGCAAGAAGGAGATCTGAAACATTTCCTTGCGTAGTGAGGAGACAAGCAGATGAGCCTGGACACCATGCGCAAGTTAATGCGAGCCCGTGTTGATCCTCGATTCAAGGAAGCCGCCTACTTAGAAGAGCCACAAAGAGGGGTGCCATTACAGATGCAAGCAGCTCACAGCTGGGAACTTAGGTCTATCGGACTTATTTCGCTCAGTCTGGCGAGCAAAGGGGCTGGACGAAGCAGGCCTTTGTCAACTACTTCGCAAGCACTCCGTCCGGGAAGCACGCGAAGATGACTGAAGAGCTTGTGCGATCCGTCCACCGCTTTTCCACGGAGGCCCGTGGCACCGGACTGTTACCCAGGTAGTGTTGCTTGCCCTTGCTCATTTTCGAGCCCGACACAGCCCAGTGCCAGGTTATTGTCGTCGTAAACTTTGGCATGACAACGTCATCAAAGTTAACGCCGCAGCGTTATCCTCGCTTGGTGCTGCTGCATGCGGACCCCATGGACTCATCATTGAGGAGGAGCTTCAACTTCAACAAGCGTCTTGATCCTGGATAAAAGGAGGCTTTGGGTTCCCAGCTACACAGAGGCTGAGGAGTACCCATAGTCCGTAGGATTCATCTTGCAAAGCTGCGCAGGTACATGTGTCTAGCACTGGGCATTAAATTAGGGCTCCTAGATCACATCGCGGTGCTGAGATATGCTGAGGCTTCGTGCCTTTCTTTTCGCGAGGGCTTTGGCAGGCGTTGGGTTAGATTCCGAGCTGCCCTCGGATGCAGAGATGCCCCAGTCATGTCATGCCTCATGTGGGTTGTTCTCAAAATTATGGGCCCTTTTGGTTCGAAATTTGGGTATGGCACCTAATATTCAGGGGGTACCAAAATGGGATATTACCTTCGAGAACTACCCATGTGATGACATGACCCAAGACAACAGGCTTTCTCAGAAGTGGTACTACTGGTAGCATGATTGCTTTTCGTCATCATCCATGTCGATCGTCGGTTGGCAAAGGATCAGTTTGTGGCGCCTGGCGTGGACAGACTCTTCGAAATGGCTGAGCGGCTGGACGAAAGTAGTGCAGCATTGATTTTTTCTGGATGGTCTGAGAGACGGTGATCTTGAAGCCGGCGGTCAGGAATCCTTTGAAAACTGGCACCAGTGTGTAACATGACAATGTAAAGCCACGCACTATCTTGGGCCGCCAGCTTGCTCAGCTAAGGAACGCTTCTCCCTGAAAAACCAGCTAAACCCCACAAAGTACAGATGCCTTGAGCCCTTAAACTCTGGCATGTTTCATGGTTGGTGCTTCCAGACCCAAATACTGGAATCATTGCGAGGCGAGAGATCACAGCGGACTATCCTCTGGCAATCATGCCAGTACATTTCCTGGATCGAGGGCCCAAGGACATGGTAGCAGTTTTGCCTGCCTTGCTTCACGCTGCATTCCTGAAGGACTTGGGTATCTGGTGGGACCGGTACTGTATCGACGCCGCTACCTAGCTAAGGAGTTTGCACTGTGCGGGTGATCAATTTGAGTTTCATTTCAGTGTGCAGGACCCCTGCACATGCCAAGGTTTGCAGTCTGCAAACATTGCGCCGCGTACTGAGCCTTCACAATTTTGACAGACCGCAGAGCCCAAGGCCCGATACAGTTTGAAAGCAGTTGCGCAGGATACGAGATTCTCAGCATCATCCCACAGCCTTTGCGGCTCCAGGCGTGCAGGTGGAGTGAATTTGTCCATAACTGTGAAGCGCCATGCTGTCTTCCAACGCCGC